GCAGGTCCCGAACACCGGTCGCAACATGGGGCGGGAGCAAAATAGTGCCAACACTGGCATTCAACTGAGCGTTCTTCGAGACCCGAACGGGGGTCTCGCCAAGGCAGGATAAGGCAGCCAAGCGGGAAGCAGCATCCTGAGAAGGAGCAGCAACGACACGTGTACCGAGACGAGTGGGGTTGAAAGTAATGGAGGCATCCACGGAATCAATGAGATGTCGATGGAGGGAGAAATCGTCAGGAGGCGCAGAATCAAGAGGGAGGAGATCAAAATATTTGGCCCACGAAGCGGGACCAAACAAGGCTTGATAGGTAGCAGAACTGGAAGGAATCGAGCGAGGGCGGCCGTGACGAGGACGGCGGTGAGAACCCCCAGAGAGAGAGGGGTTAAAAGGCGCAGTAGTTACAACTAGAGAAGGAGCCGCGCCAGGGGACGAGGTAGTCACCACTGGGGGCTTGGGGCTCGACCCAACCACAGAGGAGGGAGGGGAGCCAGGGGAAGGAGTCAGAGAGGCCAAAGGAGGAGCAAGGTCGGGGCCCAATGCAGCGGAGGCTACAGAGCCCGGTCTTCCAATACGGACCGACTCGGGGGCTTGGTCGCCCACCCCACGAGCCTGAGAAGGTAAGCCAGAAGCAGCCGAAACAGGGGTTATCATCTTGACGAAAAGAAGAATTCATTCACGAATGTGCCCCCACACCCACCATGGAGCCACAATTAGAGGCAGGACACCCAACAAGAAGCTATCGCCGATCTTGTCGGGGCCTCCTAGGGGTGCGTCGTGAGTATACGCCCCACAAACGCCACCTTAAGAAACCGACAGTCCGTCGAGATCGGGTTCAGTGACGAAAGGGGGATTGACAATAAAAGGTTCCCCTCGCTCTCGACGTCGGGTACTACAGTTCTACGGGTGCAAGAGTATGCCTCCTCAAGCACCCGGGCGTCAAAATAGAAGAAGTCCAAGGGAAGAACCAGAACGAGCAAAAGGTCGGCAGGAAACGGCAAGCAGATAGGAGAAGAGGGGGGAGAAAAACGAAACAGAAGGAAAAGGAAAAGATGCCCAGCAGAATTGGAGAGGACGGCAGCAGGAGCACAAGGCTAGAAAAGGACAGAGGACTGTCCCAAGGAGCATCACACTCCGGCAGCCGCCCACTAAGCCCCCACACGGCGACAACGAGCTGAGCGGGGAGGGGGGGCTAAGGTTATGCAATTTTGGGATCGAAATGCTGCCAATATCAATGTAATTGGAAAGGTTTTACAGTTCCTCCTGACGCATCTTAGAAGATTACTCCAAACCCATTAATGATAGCTTGAATTATTTGATCGTAAATGCCTTTTCGCTCAAGCGTTAGCTTAAGAATATTTGATTGCACATACAACAGATCACCGGTGTTGTAATTTTACTCACGATGCAATATTACATTGAACGAAACGGCAGCAGATTGATTCGGTGATGGCATTCCCAACTCATTGATAACTTTGTTCGCGATTTCTAAGTGAACTATTTCTTCAATCATTATCAACGCTTCGATGTAGATTTCCGCTTTGAAATTCATGTTCTTTGAATTTTCCTTCTGTATTCGACGGACAATATCTTCAGCCATGTGCGATTTGTGTTTCTCCCATAGTCTGATGGAGATGGAGAGCCGGTGATCAATATGATTGCAAACAATGCACGAATTTGATTTGGATGCGATGTGTTGGACGTGTCATTTATGCATACATCCCAGTGTCGGTCGTTCTCCAATAAATTCAGAGCTTGACATGCACTATGGAAAATGATGCGTTACACCGCTGACAAATCTCAATTGCTGGAAAGACGTTTCCTAGTCACAATTAGACCGAGCCGTCCCAGGGGACGAGGTGGTCACTGCCAGGGGCTTGACCCAACCACAGGAGGGAGGGGAGCCGAGGGGAATAGTTAGATGGGTAAAGGGAGGAGCAAGGTCGGGGCCCAATGCAGCAGGGGGCTTACAGAGCCTGGTCTTCCAATACAGTCCGAATCGGGGGCTTGGTCGCCCACCCCACGAGCCTGAGAGGGTACAAGAGGAACATTCAGCAACATAAATACTAAAGGTAAGGTAATTATCAAAAGAAGGCATCAACCGGGAAGGCTACGTAGCACCATCAAAGCGCGAAATAATCAGAGGGCGCTAAATATCACCAAGAATGCCAATACGGGATCAAAAACGCATTAGGCGAAAGATATCAAAAGTATCCCATTCACCTAGAATTCTATCGAGGGACAAGTGACCGCGAGGGACGGCCGGAAAGCAAGAGACACGCTCGTCCTGGAAGTCGAGACATTCAACAAGGATATGCACAACTGTAAAAGGGACAACGCAATTCGGACAATAAGGAGCAGGGCGGCGCTCCATTAAGTGACCGTGGGTTAAGCGGGCATGACCAACCCGCAGCCGTGCCAAAGCAGTTTCCCACCGCTGGTTACGGTGGTAGGAGCAAGGCCACGGGGACACACTACGTTTGAGAGTACGCAGCTTGTTACCAACCACAGAGGACCAACAACCCTGCCAACGGGCAAGAATGGAAGAATGAATAACAGGATTAAAGTCTGAATAAGGAATACTTTTATGGGAGATGGGACAAGAACGGATAGCTGCCTTAGCGGCAGCACGCTCATTGAAAGAAACGCCAATATGGCTGGGAACCCAGTAAAACTACCGGTTTAAATTTACTAGAAATAAGAAACGGCCAATGTTGAATCTCGATGACCACCGGATGGACAGGATTAAAGGACCCTAGAGCCATGAGGGCACTACGAGAATCAACTACAACCACAAAGGAGGAATGAGAATGAGAAAGCAAGAGACGAAGAGCATAGAGAATAGCATAAAGTTCTGCCGTGAAGATGCTAGCCTCTGAAGGGAGGAGACACATAAGTACTGTCAGGAAAAACAACAAAGTAGCCCACACCGTCCGCAGACTTAGACCCATCAGTGAAGATGGAAATAGAGTGCTTAGAAAAGTGCTCAAGGAAGAGGCTTTTCAGAATAGGAGGAGGAGTAAAGGCTTTAGTAATACAAGTCAAGGACGTACAAAACTTGGGAAGGGGGACTCTCCACGGAGGTAAGGAAGGAACAATAGGAAGAGAAACATTAGAAATATGAACAGAAAGAATCCTGTAAGCGAGATAACCGGACAGAAAGTGGGAGACAATGAAGAGGAGCAGGAACCACAGGAGGAGGAAAAGTCAATGCACGACAGAGGAAGGATGTTGGAAGGACCGCGCAAGATAGCGAAGACAGTAGCGATCACGGCGGTCCTGAAGAGAGAGAAAGCCAGCGTCAACATACAAACTAAGGGCGGGAGTCGAACGAAAGGCACCAGAGCCGAGACGCAACCCAGTATGGTGCAAAGCATCAAGACTGCGAAGAGTAGGAGAAGCAGAAGAGTATGCAGAGCAACCATAATCTCGTCGAGACACACACAGACAGACAGACAGAGCGAGAGAGCGAGAGAAGTGCAAATAGAGGAGCGTGCGCCTATCCGCTCCCCAAGAAGTATGGGACAAAACCTTAAGGAGGTTAAGGGCCTTAGAGCATTCAACTCTGAGGTAAGAGATGTGGGCTGACCAAGACAAACGAGTGTCAAAGACTAACCCCAAAAGCTTCGCGGAATCCCTGTACACAATGGGATGACCATAAAGCGACGAAGAACGACATGCTTCCGAGTAAAAGTCATAGCACAAGTCTTAGACGCATTGAACTTTAAACCATGATCGGTGGCCCCAAGACGACACGGCATCAATCGCAAGTTGAAGGAGGGGGGAATCATCACCCCGACAGCAAAGAGTAAGATCATCAACATAGAGAGCAGAGAAGACGCCAGAAGGAAGAGAGGAAAGAAGACCGTTTAGAGCAACAACAACAAAAAAAAAAAAATTATAGTGCTCAGAACACTACCCTGGGCTACACCCTCATACTGCTGAAAAGGGGCAGAGAGAGCAGTACCAAGCCGCACACGAAAAGGAACGACGAGAGAGGAAGCTGCAGAGGAAGAGAGGGAGGTTCCCACGAAGGCCAAAAGAATGAAGTTGAGACAGAATATGATACCGCCAGGTAGTGTCGTAAGCCTCATAAACACTAAAAAAGAAACGTTTTCACTCATGAATGTGCCCCCAAACCCACCATGGAGCCAAAATTAGAGGTAGGACACCCAACAAGAAGCTGGCACCGATCAAGCCAGGGCTCCCCCTAGGAGTGCATCGCGAGTATACGCCCCACAAACGCCACCTTAAGCTTGTTTTGAAAACTAGAGGTGGCCAAACAGGCCACCTCGTCTCCTGGCACGGTTCAGTCTAGTTGTGACTACTGCACCTTTTAACCCCTCTGTCTCTGGGGGTTCTCAAGAAAATAAGTCTTTCACAATTGGTAGAGACAGCAGCATAAGACAGCAAAAGGACAGGACTGACCCATGGAGCATCACTCCAGCAGCCGCCCACTATGCCCCCCCCCCCTCACGGTAACAACGGGCCAAACAGGGAAAGGGGGTGGGGGGAAAGAGCGTAGAAGGTCACAGTGAGAAGGCCACCGTCGACATGACAGTCTAACGGTTATGTTATAGTTTCCTCCCACTGCCAGCGACATCACAGAAGCCCATAGTTCACCCAGTCACATGCAGGGTGATTGGATGAAGCACACCCATCCAATACCTGACTATTTAGAAAGGAGGGATTGCCTCTTGTGTTACATTGCCTAATAGGAGTAAAAAATGTGATTACTGCGTTTGGGGAAGACAGCCACTGCTTTAAACAGCCTAGTGAGAACATGTTGCCTTACAGTCTAGTCAGCACTACACTGCCGACCTTTCCACCATGTAGATGTCGGCAGCCTACCTTTGTCTATCTAACCAGACTAGAGTTTACAACCTTGAAGGTCTCCACATTGACACTCTTCCCCCTTTGCCTAACACTCCTGTATACCACACAAACGTGTTTGTGTAAGATGGTCACTATTGACAAACTTCTTCAGAGAAAGAAAACAATGATTTTGTGCATTTATAGCATTGATATTACTACACTATCTTTAACTTTATACAGTATGATTTTTATATTAGTTAATAGGGTTAGAAGCTCACTGCCATTAGTTACAATATTACAATAATGAGAACAATTCATGGAGAATAACTATTGAGCGTAGAAGCTGGGAGCCTCACAGATGACGCGCCTCAGATGGAAACACGAGGAATCGTGCCAAGTGACTCCATCGTTATAATGGTTGTTTAACACCGCCAGACAGTCCTCGTTGCCTTCATCGTTGTCTGGTTGTGGCAGTCCTCGCCTGGGGAAGAGTAGTGGTAGTCAAGGCCATGATCATTACCAGTCAACACCAATAGAGTTGTTTACCATCAACAAACTAGTTCTCACCTGCCAGTGCTAGACCAATTAGAGTAAGGAGAGGAAGTGCCAGATAACCACGACCAAGACCTCGAGTTACGCTTGTTGCCGCTCGTCCAGATATCGCTGATGTAGTCTGAAATATAACATTTCATTACGTCCAAGTAAGTTACGCAAGGCCAAGTTAAACACCAAGACCAGCTTGTCAACTTACGTGCAATCATGAACCTGGAAATTAACTCTTGCTTCCTGTTACTTTCAATACTGACGGCCTGGAAGCCGTTGCCAAGGCCAGAGCAGTAATAGGTAGCTTGCTCCCAGGTGTAGAGTCGACCAGAGTCGTGACACCATGAGAAGTGATACGCTCTGCCATCTTCTACCTCGTCAACCTGACAATTAGGAATATACATTATGTGGAGGCTCATATTAAGTACCATTTAACCTTAAAACTGCTATATCTAAGGATAAAACCTTACCAGGGGTTTAGCAGCATGGTTGCACAGAGATGAAGTTGGGCGGAAGGTAAAGGGAGGTAGTGGTGGAGATACTTTCTGATCCTGAGGAATGAAGACCTCAGGCTGGCTTGGTAGTTGTGGCTGAACAAACACCGGTTGTTGGGGTGGTAGTTGTGGGAAGGGTTGATGTGGTTGGATGGGGCTGCCTTCAGATACGAAGACGTTTCCAGTCGAGGTAACAAATGGCCTGTCAACAGTGACTCCCAAGATGGCGGGAGCAGCGTCGTTCCTAATGAAGTACTGGGCCCAGGATGGCATCACTGCCGCTGTCATTACCAGAAATATTATGGCAGTCATCTGTAATTAGAGTAACATTCGAAAAAATATTTTAATAAACGCAAGTTGTAACACTAGTAGCTGTGAAGGGGAAGTTTAGTGGGGCCGAGCAGTTTAAAACCGACAACTAACGTTACCTTATATGTTAACAATTTATGATTTCACTTGGGAAATTAAATTTTGCAAAAAAAAAAAAAAAAAAAAGTGTATGCTTCTTTAAATCTAGTCTAAATATATTAAACTAGTTAAAGATTTGAGCAGTAAAGTTCCATAAACAAAACATTGCTCGACATAGTAGCCATCTAATGTTCACAGTAATTAATCATGTGTAAGAGATTCAACTTTTCCAGCTAGAAGTTTTCATTGACTTTTGCACTATTGTCAGAAATCTATGTTATAGACCCGATCTCTGGCCTAGGAAATTACAAGAGCACGTTCAAAGCAAAGTTTTAGCGCCAATGGGTCTGATCCCATCAGCTTGATCACTATAAAATGCATGTAATGAAAATCTTATTAAAAATATTTACCTGCCCCTCTCCCCAGCCTCTTATTTAAGTTAGTGTCTAATGTTAAGCTTTGAATACTATAGGCGAGGTTTGGTTCTCTGTCTGGGTACACGCTTGGTTGGACAAGTTACTGTACATTAGGACGAGTGTCTTGTTAGTTTAATACAATCACGTGCTATTTGCATAAACTTTCTGTAGAGGGTAAAGTGGCCGATCTTTCATAACCCTAGAAAGCTTTAACGGATATGGAGAGACTAATTCCATGCATACCACTTTCCAGTAAGCACGCTCGTCCACACGTAACAGAGTTATCATCGCTGGCAATTCAGGGTGCCCATATCGTTGGGCCAAGAACATTTGCAGCTTTACTGATCATTTTGACCGAAGTGAAATTAGTACACTTTCAATCTAAGCTTCATTTCATGGATCAGTTTTCTGCAATGTCTTGTCTTTCAGGTTAGGACAGATATTTATCAAAAGGTTTAGAGTGTGCTGGTGATAAAGCCATGGTTCAGCAATTTCATGTAGTTGTTGTAATAGGCGTTACGCCATCCTAATCCTGAACCTCCCCCCCCCCCCCCCCAAAAAAAAAAAAAAAAAAAAAAAAAAATAGCTTTTTAATATTGCAATTTTCAGAAACTGCGATGATATCCGTTTCATGCAGCAGGAACACCAGTAGGTAAAGTTTTTACTAATTATGTCAGTACATAAACACTTGTGTACCGCTTCAAGCACTACTATCTTTAAGACGGACAAGTATTTAATATAAAGTCAGACGGATGCAAGAGCGAAATTGTGTATACTTAACATGTATAGCAGTAGCAAATACTGTCTACTTGCATCCCCTCGAGATATAAGGGTAGCCATCTTCATTGTGATAGACAAGAGGATTGGAGGGGGGGACGAGTCATTCTATAATTTAAATTCAATTTGACTTAGATTAAGTAACCGTTTATGTAACTTAAGTGAAATAAGGAGTCATACCACCCAGCACAGAGGGTATGTTTAATTACAAGCTTTCTTGCAACAACTGTCACGTTAACTGCTCTGCAATTTAGTTAGTTGGGAAGGTCCTAAAAAAGATTTAACTGCTCAGGCCAGCGACTGGCATGTAATGAATTTGAGCCAAGTGATTAATTCAACTTTCATGTCATGGCCGATTAGAATTTTTCCTGCGTAAACCCCAGTACATAAAATATTAAGCAAGGATATATCAAATAGCTAGTGATTGTTTAATTGATAACTGTGTGACTTAAAGACGTTACCAGTTTGGTCATGATGGAAATAAAAATAATTTTTCACATTAATTGTTATGAAGTACGTTTAACAATACAACATCTACCATAATACTTGTTAGGTTACTTAAAAAATAATTACCCAAATGAACATAAAACATAATTAATACTACAACAAAACATAACATAATAAGATAAACCTTTGCTATAATACAACGTCTTACTGTGACGGTGAGGATGTAACTGACACACCACGTTGCCAGCTCCCACTTTTATACTCACCACACTGCTTCTCATTGGTTAATAATGTCTGCTGCAACAGTTCCTTCTTGGCATGTAATTGGCTACTCCTCAACAGGGGTCCAAAACGATAGTTACTCTTGCCGCAACGACCATAAGATGTAAGTTGTTAGTTGCCGCTGCCAGAAGTGGCCAGTTGCTGCTG